CTTTAGACGGTGCTTGCGTGTCCTTGGTTTGCATGACCATCTTCTCCAAAGCCTTCTTCTGCGATGGCGTCGACTTGATATCTGGGAGGAAGTCACCAACGACACCCTGAACACCCTGACTTGCCATCTCTCCAAGATCCCACATTGGGCCGTTCATGGCGCCATAGACTGATCCAATACCACCTCCAAGCAGTCCAGTCACTGTAGATACCGTGCCACCAACGAGCGCGCCGGTCAGCTTTCCAATGGTCACACCCGGCTGCACTCCCAATCCGGCACCAGCAGCGAGACCTTGGAAAGCACCCGACTGTGTGTACTTCGCGGCCTTTCCGAATGACTCTGCTTCAATCTCTTTGTTGATCGCTTTCGCGAGAATCTCTTCTCTTGCCTTCGCGTCGCCCGCTCCATGCGCAGCTTGCCTCAACTCCCATGCTTTCTGTCCAGCCTGGAGTGCCATTTGCGCCGACACGCCTGCATTCTGTTTGATCTCATGTTCGGGGACATTGCACTGCCCGCCGCCAACGTGAACTTCTCCCATGTTTTGGTTCGATGAATTCGCAGGCTTCGGTTTCGATTTCGTTTGTGTTTGTTTTGGTGGTATTTTCTCCTGATTCAATTCCAACAATGTTATTGTAAGGTCTAGACAGGAGGCTGGTTTGACGGGTCAACGCTAGTATGACAGCTCAAGTGCGACTACGCTACGTCATGCACGATCGACGAGATCGCCGCAGTTACACGTGTGTGGCCAGCCGACAACCTGTTTTGACCACAGGAACGCGAGACGTAGTTTCTCCAACATGTAGGGTTATCCCTTCTGCGTTCGGCGCAACCCTTCAGTAACAAGACCGATGGCTGTCACTGGTGGTTGTAAGTCGCTGCGCCAGTGTGTCATGACGTCAGCGGCCCGGCGCCAGGGTCTCTCATCTATCAAATTCCTGTCTGCAGTACGCTATGAACGCGCCGCGTCTTTGACAGCGACTCACACAACCGCGTCGTTGGTTCAGACTTTAGTAGTTTTGACGCGTGCTGCGGTGTCGTACATGTCACCCGGATGTCGAAACAGTTGCCCAAAACCACACTCCCACGAGTTTCGCCACCAAGAAAGATGTACTTTTTGATTGGCTATGATCGATTCGATCAAGCGTACCACTATTTTACTCTTACAAGAAATGCTACGCTTTCTTCATCCCATCGCCAATAGAACCTGCACTCTTTGCACCTCCCTTCAGCTCCTTGTTCGTCGCCTGTATCAACACTCTCCGGTAGCTTGTCAGAGCCGGGGTGCCATCATCCGTGACCTCCAGTATCAGATGAAGCAGTTGACCTTGAGCAACCGGCTTCTTGCTCAAGAAGTCGACCGCGCATTTTTCCGGAGGTGGAAGCTTTACCTCGACCTTCCTGCCTTCATCGTCCAGCTTCTTGATCACAAGTTGCGCAACCTCGCTGTAAACCAACCACTGCGTCGCTGTAGGTTCCCGATAATGCCACCACTTGAATGTGAGCTTTCCGCCATCAGGGTCGTATGTAGCGGACGCGTCGAGGGTGACTTTTGATCCGGCTTCAGCGGTGATTTGGACAGGCGCTAAGCCTTTGAACCCGCTGATGTTGATGACGGGGTGGTGGTTTGCTTTTGCGAAATCGGGCTCCATGCTCCACTTGATGCGCGCGGCAAAGTCGTTCTGAAATGCGTCGCGCCATCGCCAGATGGTCGCGTGGTTGGATGTATACGTCCTGTCGCCAACTTTGACTCTATCTACAACGTCGCTGTAGTGGTTGCTGTTCAAGCCTTCGGTGCTGATATCGGTCCTCCCGTATCGGCCTCCCCAAGACCCATAGTTGGGGCAGTCAGGTACACCAAGACCGTTCTGGATGAGGTAGAGGAATGTCGGGGTATCTCCTTCTGGGATGTAGAGATAGTCAGGGTACGCCTTTCCGAGTGGCCCAATTTGAATATTCTCCTTGATCCAGCTCTTCTCCATCTTGGCGAAATCTGGCCCACCTTCATCGAAGCCGTAGTACTTGTCGCCGGAGATGCCAGTCCATGCTGCCAAACCATATTGATTCCAGCCGTGAATGGAAGCAATGTAAAATACGTCGGGGAAGTTGTTGCGGATCCATGCACCCGTGTCGTCTTGGTCGGAGATTGCGTAGACGCGTAGACGTGAGAGTAAGCGCTTGGAGTCTTCAGGTTCGAAGTCGTCGTCTACTTTGAGCAGTGCTGAGGCGAGTGTGTTTGTTCCGCCCCAGCAAAGAATCCATAATGGCTGAGTGGAGGGTGCGACAATTCGATCGTATAGTAGCTGTCCACCTGGAGACAGTGGAGTGTCTGTACCAACAGCCGACATTCCGTAAGACTGGAAACTATCAGCGCTACCCACGTGACGTGCTACGTCTAGCTAATGGAACATACCTCGGCTCCCTTGCGAATCAACCCACGCATGTGTTGTGCCGTTGGATACTGCCAGTTCGGGTGTACATGCTTGTTCAAATTGTCGACGACATCCCCATATGCGTTGATAATCTTCCCCATGTCTTCCGGGTGCACTTCGTGTTTCATCCATGTGCTTGTGCAAGCTACAAGACCTTCCGTCTCGAACTCATTGGAATACAGCAGGTATCGACACAGCGACTCGGCATCATCTGGCTCATTCGAGATGTCCGACAAGATGAAAACGCGGGGTTTCTGCGCGTACGTCTGGAGTCTTTCGGTAGCCATGTTGATGAGCCGGGTTGTTGGCGCGCTGAGAATCAATGGATATGCCAAAAACCAAGAGGAAGCTTTCTTTTGACGCTGTTGAGCTTTTGAGGTTATCCGATGCTACACCAAACACCCGAAGTTGTGCCACGGCGTCCGAGGTGGGGCTTTGAGCAACGGTGCGGTGTCCTTAGGCACCTCCTTCCGTCTGGAGGAAAGCCGGCTATTCTTGCCATCCGTCCGTCTCCACCTGAGGATACCCCTCACCATCGCATATACGAGGTTGATGGTCTTTGCAACTGTATCGTCGTTCACCCCGGATTCCAGTATGAGATCCTGAGTGCGAGATAGCCGTTGCCACGCCGCCTTAGTGCATTGAGGCTCAGCCGTCGACTGCGCCGCAAACTAGGCCGCATTGATGGTAGCTCAGCCTTGCTCCTTATGACGTCTGGAGTCTGCCCCGCTTCAACACCACCAGCCACCTTAGGGACAGCAGTTTGGTTCATAATCAGGCGCCCAATAGCCTAAGACAAAGCCATGTTTTCGTGCCGTCAGGCCGACTGCCAAGCAGTACAACCGTAATCTCTTGCCTGAAGGAGTTGACGAGGTAGGCTGTGCTTCGCTGCTTCCTAGATATATAGCTACCAGGCTACCGCGCGATCGCATCATACCTTGTTACAACTTACAACTTAGTCTCCCGGGACCTATCTCATCATGTCAATCCACAACAAGATCCAGCAGGCAGCGCAGAGGAATGAGGAGCTCCTCCGTGGCCTCGAGGACACAGACTCAGCGCCCTCACAGCTCAAGCAGCAGAACGCCTACATCGCTGACCTCGACGCGCAAATCAACAACATCAGGAAGCGCGTCAACGACCTCAAGCAGAAAACAGCCAGCGAGCTAAAAGACCACGAAAAGTACCGCGACTCGCACTTCCGCCGCTTCGCCCACAAGGCCAGCGGAAAGAAGGAGAAGTTCGCCGAAAAAGCCGCCAAAGAAGAAAAAGAATACTTCGACGCAATCCAAGAGCAAAAGAGTGCAGAAGATGAACTTGCCTATGCAAAACAGCTCCGCGCCGAAGCCGAGACACGCAAGAACGAAATCGCGTCGCAAGCCCAACGCCACACCGCGCTCCAAGCCGACCTCGACGCGCTCTACAACTCCATCTTCGCAGGCCACACACCCGAGTTCCCCGACGAAGACCGCAAAGAAGATGCCTGCAACGCCGCGCACGCGCACGTCCAAGACCTAACTCAACGCCTCGAGCGCGAACGCCACATCCTCTTCCTCCTCGGGCAGACTTCCGTCAAGCTGTCTGCCGCCCGCGAACACCTCGACGGCGCATACGGAATGTCGCAATACGACATGTTCGGCGGAGGCACAATGGCCAGCATGCAGAAGCGGAACTACCTCGAGCGCGCCGAGAGCTCCATCCAACAGGTGCGCATGCTACAACAGCAGGTCAAGCAGGTTGCGCCTGAGATACCGGGGCTGGGTCAACTCAACATCGCGATGGGTAGCATATGGAGCGACGTGGTGTTTGACAATATCTTCTCAGACATGCAAATGCACGATCAGGTCAAGCAGTCTATTGCACAGGTCGACCGCGCGGGGAATAAGTGCGGGGAGATCATCCGACAGCGTGAGGCGCAGGAGAAGGGACTGCAGGGCGAGGTCGATCAGGCAAAGGCGAAGCTACAGCATGCGCGGTTAGAACTGCAGCAAGCGCGTGAAGAGGCGTTTAGGAGGGTGTTGGGTGGTGGACAGCAGAATGTGGGTACAGGAGGATTCGCACCGCCTGCTGGTGAGGCTCCGCCGCCAGAGTATACGGCGCCGGCGGGTCCTCCTCCTGGGTATTCGGCTTGAGCCGTGAGGCGGTGGTTCATGCGTGTGGCTTGCTGATACGGATGGGGCTTGTGTTCGGCCCGTATACCCTCCATATTCTATGCAGTGGGGCTCGGCGCACCTTCAGACTCCAGTAGTCCCGGGTCGACAGATAAGTTCCATGATTTTGGATAGTTCGTAATGATAATGGTATCTCGGCAGTCATTCTCAATCGATTGATAGTGAGCTCGCATCATGTGCAAAATGTCGAACGAAGCGAGCATTTTACCATGAGTTTACGTAACGAGGATGGATGTGTAACTCTGCTAGACATGAATCGGAATCCGGACCTGTGTTGGGGAGAGTGAACGACCAAACGACATCTGTTCACCACGCTGCCATACAAGACAAATGCACAACTTCAATTGTATGTGTGGGACTCGAGCATGCTGTGCCAGGCACCGCTGTTTACGTCTATCCCTCAAATGAAAGCCTCGTCGAGGTAGTTTCCAAAGTTGCTGTCACGGAAAGACGGCGTCGCACTACCGAAATCCGTGTTCTCAATCGCACTCCTCGCCGCCGCCGTCATACTGTCCCACGCAATCAACGGCTGCTCTCCACCTTGCGTAGTCGTCTCGATCAACTGGTGGTTAACCGGGAAGATGGACCTATATCCAATCCTTGGCCTGGTACCAGTAAGACTGGGGTTGGTAACCTTGTCGTAGTCGCCGTGAGCAGAGATGGCGACGCCGCGGATAGTAGCGGTAGTGGACTGAGCAGAGAGCCAGACGACGATGTTTTCCCAGTCGTGGCGGTGTCCGAGACCAGGGCCGGGACTGTCTTTGGGCATGTACCAGGAGTACATTATGGCGTAGGCGCCGTTGTGGGTGGCGGCGCGGGCGTAGACTTGGCCGGGGGAGGAACTGCACATGCCGTTTGAGGAGCCGGTGGGTTGGAGGCCGCCGCTGGAGGGTGTTAGAAGAATTCACTTTCTGGACTAGAGTTGACTTACCCTGTGTCACCTGCGGCGTTGACGGCAGGGAAGGGGACGCAGCCGTTTTCGACTTTGAGGTAGGGCTTGTATTTTAGCATGAGCTGTCCTACGATGCCTGAAGGAACGGTCTCGGGGAAGCCAACGACGGCATCATGGCCGATGACAGCACGGCTTTGGAGGTTGACGGGGGAGGAAAGCACGACGCTCGCGGCGGCAAGGAGCTGAATGGCGATGTTGAACATCTTGACTTCTGTTCAAAGCGAATGGAAGTGGGAATGAATGTCGAGATAGATGTCAAGCGAGTGACAAGGTTTCGAGCCGGACAGGACTGGCTTGTTCTTCAGAGAATGGCAACTGCAGATAATTTATACGAAGTCTTCGGCGTATTCAGTATCGTACGGCTCTTCCCGATATCGTGCTCACTGAGTCCTCAAGTCTCTCTCTATCCCAATAGGGAAGTTCACGATAGAAACTAGCAAAAGCGCGATACGAGCAGAACCGTGGAGAGCACACAAGCAGCGCACATGCCCTGATATACCACCACCAATTGGCCGTTTATCCAGCTCCCTAGAACGCATAACAACGTTTCCGACGTTGTCGCTGGGGTACCTGCAGCGCCTCGGCGTCCGGCACGGGACGATTCAGACGTTGCATATTCTACGCCCGGAGCAAACATGCGTGAAAGGCAACGCAGGATGTCGATCGACTAGATTGGGAACCACGACGGTTGCATACCGGCGAATAAGGAGAAAGCGCGTGGCTGATCGCGTCCGAGCCATTGGTGCTTGGCCGAGACTAGGCCGAGTCCGCATCAGGCAGGTGCAGGGGAGGTGAATGTGACATGCTGCAGTCTGGAGAAACAAAACGAGAAATGCATTGGATTCGTGGATTCATGCTGGTGGGCTGCCGAACGTGAGGAATTGGCGAGGAGTGATTGGAGCAGTTAGACGTACCTGCAGTCACGGGGGACGAAAGGCATGATCTCGGGTATCGAAGATTAGATTGTATCTCGCAATGCAGTCAATCATCCGAACTGCCTCCAGACAGTATTGCGCCGGTCTTTTGGTGGTGTCTCCGGGCCTGGCATTAGCTCGCGCAGCAGGTCGTTGATGTCGAGGCCGCGCTCTTGACAATCGTGCCATTGCCGTGGGTAGCCCAGGCTGACCTCTTCAAAGCGCGTGTTGTCTATCCAGTCTGTTCGCCTGATGTGTAGATGGCCAGAGACGACGACCTTTGCGTTGTACTTGTTGTGCCAGTCTTCTGTCTTCTTTGTTCCGCACCAGAGGGAGAAGCGCGGAACTCGGAACAGCTTCACGAGGTCTTCGCGCAGCGGCCAGTGGCCTACTATGATCAAAGGGATATCTGGGTGTGATGCGACAGCGGCGGCGAGCTTCTTCTCCGTCTTCTCAAGAAGCGCATTGCACCATTCGATACGCGACGAGTAGGGGTCGGGGTGCAGCAGGTGCTCGTCGGTCGCTTCTATGTCTTCCTCTCGCGCCCACTCCAGCGCATCCTCTAGCTTCACGTGGCTAGGCCTGAAGCTGTAGTCGTATAGCGTGAAGATGGGCGCAATGAGACATGGACCTCCCTCGCCCTGCCACAGCGTGTATGGATCTTCTGGTGTGATTATGCCGTACTCCCGCGCAATCGCAACGCACTCCAGGTATTTCGCCTCGCCCCTCGCGCCATGCTCTTTCTCCGAGGGCAGCGTGTACAGCTCGTGATTGCCTGGCACCCAGAACACTTGCCGGAAGCATTCCTTGACCTTGGTGAAGGCTAGCCGACAATGCTCCGCCGACTCGCCAACGTCTCCACACAGTATGAGGTCATCGTGCGGGTGCGGCAGGAGCTTCTCGAGAGCGTCGCGATTGCCTTTGAAGGAGAGGTGGATGTCGCTGATACCCCAGAGGCGGCTCTCTGGGGGCGTCTCGGCGGAGGGCGGGGAGCTCGGCGGGGTTGACGTTGTGTCTGCGGCGGCTGCGGCTTCGGCGGCGGCGAGAAGAGGGTCCATGGTGGCGGCGACGGGTAACTGCACAATTGACTACGCGCCGTGACGGAGTTATATAGTGACGATGTCTCAAACGGACGTGTTGCAAAAAAGTAACTACATCATAGTTCTTTCTCCGACGCGTGTCCGCCGTTTCGACGGGCTATTATTATCGATTCGCACAGACCAGTAAGACGTCAAGCTTCGTATTAGGAAAGAGCAGTTCATTTATCAAGTCTCACCCATTCGCTGAAACTGTTCTCATCCAACATACGTATAGCAGCTGTGTATCGTCGCGAAACCGGGTCCCCGCTGCCTACCGGTTGAGGTTGCAGAACGACTACACGATATCTAGGTACGCTGGGTTTAGAGTTTCACTACGGCGAGGCTGACATGGTACACTACATTTGATGGAAGGAACTACGCAAACGAATTGGGAACATCGCCGATACTTCAAAGAATCGCGTACGATTCGCGATCCAGCATCTCAATATGCTCATCCATCAGTTATAGCCGCATCGCCTAGATTACCGACGTCGTTGTCGTCGCTCGCGACCACTCCCTCCGCTTCATGTTCGCATTCTGCTGTCTTCTGACCTTCATCCTCGACCCAAACCTTGTCGCGACTCTCCCATGCATCATTCAAATCCGCCAGAATCTCCTCGTCGTAGAATGTCCATGTGGCTGGGAGCGTGAACCCCTGAAGCGTGAATCTGTCTCGCACGCCCTTAGCTTTCAATTCTCCTCTCTCAAATTCGTAATATGCCTCCGGTCGCTCTGCTTCCGGAATCTTCTCCAGCTCAAGTTTCGTCAAGCGATCCAACTTCTTGAGAATAGCATCGCATTTTTTGTTCATTACCGAAGGGCCAGTACCTGGTGGTATCAGGTACCGATGTTTGAGGACTGCATGGCTGAGGTTCTCATATAGCAGATCAAATCTCGGATACTCCGTGGGGCCCAACGACTCCCTCCTGTGTATGAATATGTACGGTGAAGAGCTTTGTCGGAGCTCGAAAGTCGATGATTCAAGGATGGTGTCAGGCGTATCAGGCGCCGAGACGCCCGTTGTGTCGAGATCCAGTTTCCAGGTCCGCGAATCCCCTATCCGGCGGGTTATACAACTTGGCCCATCCGTTTCCACGTGCAGTATTCCGTCAGCCCAGTACCGCGACCCTAACCCTTTCCACGACCCTGGACTTCCAATCCTTTGTACAAGGGCTACGTACTGCCAAAGGTATTTGTCATCGACCATCGTCAGATGACATGTCTCTTTAATGTATGTCTCGTAAGGGAATATCGTATATGCCTTGTTCCATGTTAGAAAGGTCATCTCATTGGTTGCTCGACGGGTAATTATATGTATCTCTAGTTGGTTGAAGTTCCAGTTGCGAAGGTCCACGCGTCTCCATTTCCCATCAACACCACACTTTCTTGTACAGTAAAAGCCCTCACTCATGTCTGGTTCCTGTGGCGATGGATCATAATGCACAAAGCCTTCAGAACTCAGGTAATCAACTAGCGGCGCCATGCGGGTAGGTTCAACCCATACACTCAAATGCGTACACTCGAGTTTCGAGCGCGCAATGAAGCTTAAGTAGCCACCAGTGATGAGCTCCTGGCTGCAATCATCCAGAAGAGCGCCGCATTCTCCTTGGACGGACCGAAATTCCCGAGGGTCTCTAAAGAAATGCCGGAGTTTGTAGTTAATGTTGTAGTCAGAAGCTATAAGCGTCGACCACAAAGAGCCGAAGGCCTTGCAGGTGCAGGTAAGCCTTGCGATGGCGCCCGGATTGAGATGATCGAGGAGAACGCGTTGGATGGGCGCATACCGAGCACTGAGAAGGTCGATGAGAGTAGTCATGTTTCGAAGATAGCTGTTGATGTAAGAATATGCTTATGAGTAGATATAAAGCGAGAGAATCAGGAGGTTAGGAGCGCCCATGACAGTTCTTAGGTCTCGGTGTTAGGTCCGGAAGCCGACTTCACATGCGCGATATTGAATGTAGACGTCGGCTTCTACATGTAGTCCATATTCGGTCACGCAGCTGAAGACGCAATGTCATGTCACAAGCAATCCACGCAAACGCCCGTGGTTCTCCTGACGTTGCTACAATCGCTCCTTCCTCGTTTAGCCGAATTCTTCACGATTTTGGTCAATGCGGAAGGTGCGCTAGGCGGGTAGCCTCGTTTGTGTCACGTCAAAATTCGCGGTGAAGGTGAGTGTCAACTCTCGGTTTCTCTAGTGCCTTCGGTAGCAAGACTTCACCCCCCAAATACTTTCAAATAGCTACTATCTCTTTCTCCAATACCTAGGTATTTTCCATCACTCAAGACTCCATACCACCAGCGTCATCGCCAATACCTAGGCATCTTCCGTTATTCAAGACTACATACCATCAGCGTCATCGCTATCATCGTCGTCACCATCATCGTCGTCACCCTCAACAATGTCATCCCCAGCCTCCGCAATGCAAATCCGCGCCGAGAACGCCGAGCAAGAAATCGCTGAGTTGAAGCGAGACCTCGAGCTCGCCAACAAGAAGAACGAAGACCTCGCGGCAAAGCTGGAAGCGGCGCAGAAAGAGCTTGTAGAGCGCAGGCAAGCTGAGACCGACGATATACGGGCCAAGATACTTGCGATTGAATCGGGTCAAGTGGTTCAGGGCCCAAGCAAGTCAAGCAAGCTGTTTGAGGCGATGGAGCAGCAAGTGAAAGTTTTGCGCATGATTGAGCGGCAGGAGGAGCATGGGCTCGATAAGTCATTGAGCGCTTCTTATCGCGCTAGGTTCGAGCGTAATCAGATCTTGATGGCTGAAATCGATAGGCGGGCGAAGATTCTGCGTGAGCCGAATGATGCTGCGTTGTTTCTCGAAGACCCGGAGGTCAAGAAGTGGTTGATTTAGCTGATTCTGGTTTCTTGTTCTCTTCCTCATGTGCGCCTTTCTTCTTTCTCTTTCAGCTTTTGCTTAGCGTCTAGTTTACCTTTGTATTACATGGCTTTAAGGCTGTAATTAAAATTCATCCCCTCTATCGTCACTGTCCTAGGAACGTCTTGTATATCATGATAAAGATATCTTTATAAGAACGGGCAGTAAACTGTAAGTAGAATAGAAGGCGTTGCACGTGATGTATGCCGCTAACATGTTCAGTATCGTTCATGCTATTGCGATAAAGATGTTAGAGCGTTCCTGATAGCTGCGTAGAAAGAGCAAGTAATGTTAGAGGAAGAAGAAGAAACGCTAAAGGTATATCATAGATTAGCGAAGCGAGCAAGGCGATCTTAGAATGCGGCTTGCAAAAGACTAGAGTACAGGATAGTCAGGTCGGAATGTGGGGATGGGTCAATGTTCACGGCTGTAGCAGCATACCACTTTACATGAAATCCGATATAGAAGTTCGGCATTTGATGGTGTAATCGCGGTCGTGATGATGTCATGGTTCGCGTGTTTTGAAGATCGCCAAAAAGCTCGGGTCTAACCTCAACACGACGATCTCAGCCTTTCGATAGCGTGTGGCTTGCGCGACCTCAGCAATAAGCTTTGGCAAGCGAATGCGATTGCTCAATGCTGCGAACGTGTGGAGTGAACATGTGTGCGGAGTGCATACGGCACCTGGGGAAGTTGCCGATCAGCAGTCACCGGAGCAAACACCGCGGCAATATACACGACACTCCCCTCGAGTCAAGCAACCGAGCCAAGCATACAGCCAAGATCTGCATTTCACCGACCATATCTCCGTCGACTATGAACGAGCATCGCATCGGCAACTTGGCGGGTGAGTGACGTTGCAAAAAACATGGGCCTGGGACCGTGAGGTGTCCGGCGCGACGATCAGTGGAGAGGTATATAGGAGATGGAAGGCCAGGCGATGGTGATTTGCAGGTATCCAGCTTCGCTATCATCACGAAAATCATGTCGAGCATCATCCCCGTGGACCTTCTATCGTACGCGACGGATCCGTCGTACCTGAACAGCATTGTCACCACCAATGCTTCAAATCCAGACATCATCAACCTCCTCGCATACGATGAAAGCTTTGCGTCTGTGATTGGCGAGAACGCAACAGGGCGACTACTGGAAAGTCTGGATTGGGACGCTTTCCATGAGGCTGGTGTTTACAACAAAGATACAAACAAGCTATACGTGACGAGCAGCTGGGCTGGAGACCTGAACAACCCCATCAACGTTACTGTCATCGATCTCGCAGACAACTACTCAATCAACTCCACACGGATTCCAGGCGTCGCCGAGGCCAACGGCGCAACATCCTACTACCCACCCGGCACTCAAACCAACGGCTCAACACCTTCACGAGTACTATACTGTGACCAGGGTGACTTCGTCAACCCAGCAGGTCTCGTCTCCGTCGACCCCGTAACAGGCGAATCCGAACTCATCTTGTCAAACTTCCTTGGACGAAACTTCACATCACCCAACGACGTGCGCCAACACCCCGTAACAGGCGATCTTTGGTTCACCGACCCAGACTACGCGTACGTGCAGGGATTCCGTCCCGAGCCCAGCCTACCGAAGCAAGTCTACCGCTTCAGCCCTTCCACAGGCCAAATTGCCGTCGTAGCAGACGACTTCGTCGAACCTAACGGCCTCGAGTTCAGCCCCGACTACAAAACACTCTACGTCTCCGACACTGGTGCCGCGGGCTACAGTCTGAACGTCACACGACCAGCCACACTCTACGCATTCGACATCACACACGACGCAAAGAGGCTAACTGGACGTCGCACCTTTGCCTACTCCGACAACGGCATTCCCGACGGACTGCACACCGATACCGAGGGTAATGTGTGGGCTGGATGTGGAGACGGCATTCACATCTGGAACCCTGAAGGCACTCTGATTGGAAAGATTTGGGTTGGTATTACCACTGCGAACTTTGCTTTCTTGCCGGGGGCTGTCATGGTATTTAGTAATAAGCAGTTGTGGATTGTGGAGAACATCAAGGCGATGGGCAGGGAGGTTGCTAAGGACTTTGGATTGTCGACTCATTATTGAGATGGAAGATGTCTTTGCGGCAAACTACACGCTTGGCTGCGATGATTGCAGGTATTGCGATCAAAGAAAGGAAAGCAAGCGAGATGATGTTTGTGCAAGTTGCTCAAGCAGCAATCGCGTTCCACGTCGCTGCATATAATCCTTCTTCTTACGCTTCATTTGCTGTTTACGAAGCTGTATTCAAACCCATCTAGTATATATTCGATTCAACAAGTCCTGAACGAGAAGCTCCTCTTTCACTCTACGGTATATACACAATGCATCCATCTATACAAAGCAAGTGGCGATTACAACCACGCAGTCATTCAGCGTTTCACAAAGATGAGAGGCATGTGTGAAAGGCCTGACTCCGGCTGCGGTGAACTGCCATTGCGCTCACAACCTCTCTCTCTTGCAGTATTTGAAGGCTCGCAACCTACGTTTCTTACGGTGCCAACTTCCACCACAACTAGCACCAGATCAATTGGCACCACTGGATCTGACAAACATAAAAAACAACCCTTCCGTGCGACACAACACAAGATGGTCAGGCCGGTACCACACGACTTCAGCGGCCCTACTCTTTTTAGCAACGGCGCCGAAGCCCAAGCCTTCCAGCGCAACCGCGGCATCAAGTGGCATCCACCCAGCAATGACACGACAATCCCTCATTCCAACGCTCAGCGCAGGGCCTACGTTATCCGAATGAGGCGAGCTATGGTAGACGTCAGTCGAACAACAGAGACGTCCAAACATTTCATCGAGCGCTGGAAGCAGCCACTTCAAAACGGCCAACGACCTCTGCCCCACTCCCTCGTTAGCATGGAGGCTATATGTTGGGATCTTCTCGATCTCGCAGAACGCCTGCATACGCAAGGTCCGATCTGCCTATCGATATACGACCCCTCTGCGTTGAAAGCGGCGGGAAAGTACAGGCACTTCACGTTTTCGCAGCGCATTGATGCGTTGATTGAAGACTTGCTCTATTCGAAGAAGACTGTCGACGGCCTGATGAGGACTGAGGGACACGCCATGTTCGTCGCATGTTGCAGGCACAAACCAGCGAATAGGAGACAAGATAAGATGATTGGCATGAGGGAGGCACGTCTGCCGACACTCGATGAAGGGGTTAGTAATCTTCAGATTTAACTCGAAGAGCTCCTCCCCCATTGTGGAGGGCGGGGTTTTATGTTGTTGTACTCGCGTAGTCGTGCTTGCCTAGATGGGCGATTCTTGCGTCTGTAGGCACGATAGACCTCAACGAGGAAGGAGGCTATTTCATAAGGTAGCTACATAGCTGCTTCTAATGGGATCACTATTTGCATACACTTAAAGATCATCGTGAGCATTATCAATACCACGTTTGACGTCGCCTCGTGGTGTCAGACCTGCCGAGGCTTCAGACTCTGGATGCAAAAAGCAGGGACTCGCTTATCGTGCACTAGCGCCATCACCCCTGCCCGGCCAAAGATCGGTCTGGCCAGGCACGACCGACACAAAATCTCTCGCCTTCTGTCAATCAACAGTCACGATAACGTATCCACCCGCATACCCAATTACCCACAATGGCTTTCCTCCGATCTTTCAATTCTGGCATGAGTATACGTGACATACGCAACTGACCCACAGCCCGCGCGACCGTTAGCCATCCACCCTCTGATAGACAAAGAGGGGTGTAGTCTCTCCACCGTATATACTGTGGACTCGACGATAGTATTGCTTTTTGACTCCCGAAAGCAGCGTCAATTCATCCAACGATTCACTCACCTGCCGCTTGCCGTGCTGCTAATCCCATCGACACTGCTACAATGGACGCCACCGAAAGCGACTCGTCTATCCCTGTAGCCAGTGACTCGGTCTTCAGCATCTCACGCCCTTCTTCAGCCTCCTCGATACATCCGAACGATACGCCGAACGATAAAGCGAGCGATCTGCCAGCGGGCGCACCAATATCTTCCCTCTTCCAAGTCCGCCATACACCGACCGCCGGCCGCGCTGTCTTCGCTTCGCAGGATATACCAGAGGGCGCAATAGCGTGGCGCTCGGAAGACCTCTCCCTCTCCGTCTTACTGCGCGAATACCGGCGCGAGGTGTGTGGGCAATGTTTTGGATACGATTACGGGCGGGATCTGGACATACGGGATAAGACGGTGGGGTTTGCTTTCTGCTCGGAAGCATGCCAGGAGAAGTGGCGGGAGGAGAACGGCGAGGTCGGAGTTCAGGCATGGACTGCGGTTGAGACTCTCGTGAAGAAGCGGAGCAAAGAGGATAGCGATATGGTGGACACCGACTTACCACGCCCAAAGGTCAAGGAAATCCAGCAGGCGTGGGAGAATGTCTCTGCACAGGCGGCGCTGATACGGGCTGCACGGGAAAGCGAGCAGACGGCCGGAGTTGCTGTCACGAAGCAACACAAGAAGGCCGTGCAAAAGGCACTACAGCAGAACATCACACCCGACGTGATGAGCTTCTGCGTCAGCGGCCTGGTCTGGCGGTATCTCCATCCCGACCAATGGGAACGGGTGGAGGCCCTTGCAGACGACAAGACCCCCTACCACAGCTCCGATGACCTCGGCGCCTTTACAAGAACCTACCTGCACCTCCTCGCCATTCTTCCGCTTCCACTTCTTCCCCTTGTAACGGCAGAATCCCTCATTACCCTCTCATCCCGCGACTCGCACAATTCCTTCGGTATTCGGTCTCTCGAAGACGACGGCTCGGAGTTCTTTGGATACGGTTGCTGGCCTGCTGCAAGCTACTTCAACCACTCGTGCGGGCCGAATATCGAGAAGAGGAGGGAGGGCAGGACGTGGTTCTTTACGGCTGGGAAGGATATCAAGGCCGGGCAGGAGCTGTGCATCACGTATTTGAGTGGGGAGGAGAGGAAGCTGAGTCGTGGGAAGAGGATGTTG